TATAGATGTCACTTTAGCTGGTAGGGAAGTTGTAAACTGGCTTGTGAACTGGAACATCCTGGATACGGACATACCCAGCGATCACAGGCTTATTGTGTTTGAACACCGAGGGAACTCCGAAAACCTCGGAGAAACAACACAAAAAGGTTGTTAGGACGGTGTACGCCTACCACGGACAGCAGTGCGTGCGACTGTCCTGGAAGAATGGTTCCAAGAGGTTAGGAATGTGCTGAGAGAAATGGTGGAATATACCGAAGATAGAAAGCAATGTAGCGAAAAACCTGGGAAATGGCTGCATAGGAGAATTCAGAAAATTAACAAGATCATAGATTCGAAGATCTTCTTGGATATAGAGGCCGGAAAAGGCCAGAAAGATGAGCTCACTGCGCTTAAAAGTGCGGATTCTAATTCAGGGTACCGGAGGAATATAGTACGGGCACAGTAAATGTTGGTAAAAGGGAGAGTAAATCAGAAGGAATTTGCGAAATCAGGGCGTAGAAGTTAGTAAAAGTAGGCGGGGTGTCATAGTCGAAGTATATGGTGAAGTTCGAAGAAATTCTAAAACAAAATATATTAATTTGGGGTGGGCTGGGTGCAGAGTTACGGACTGTGTAATTCTTAAACAGTGTCTAAAATGATTTGGCTTTGAGCATCGAGCGGCAGTCTGTGGAGGGTTTTCCCCGTAGGGTTAATAAAAACTAATTCACCCATACTCCGGTTATAAGGGACCTTAGCCAATTTCCTGAAGTCGAAAGTCACGCGCGACGCGTAATAATTAAGTTAATTGCGATTTTAGAATACGCGATTTTTGAAATCGCGAAACTAAATATAGAGTTTCTATAGCCAATTGAGGTGACATTGGAATCGTAAAATTCAGTAGATTCCAACGGTGAAACTGTTAAGTCCATATCTTAATCCGGATTTAAGATATAGCCCATTAAAGCACAAAAAAATAGAGCCGTCCACCCCTTCCGGTGACGTGCTGAAATCGAGGAAATTAAACACGCGATCCTCAAAGAAATCGTAATTAAAATCATAGGGTTTGGATAGGCATATGAGGTGTCGTTGGAATCAGAAAATTCATTTGATTCTAACGGTGCAAGTTTCAGATTGAAATCTCGATCTGCGTAGGAGTTATAGCCCTTTGAAGTTGGAAAGGAAGTAGCCGCAGACCTTGAAGTTGGAAAGGAAGTAGCCGCAGACCCTTCTAGGCCATCCGTGTGAATTCCTTCTATTTTGACACGCCGATTTGAAAATCGGGTAATTAAAATAAGTTTAGTATAGGCGTGTGAGGTGTTGTTAGATTCAGAAAATTATTTAGAATCTAACGATGAAGGAATTGGATCTGTATCTAATCCCTATCAAGAGATACAGCCCCCCGAAGCTCAAAGATAACAAGCCGCCTCGCTCTTCCGGCCAATTGCCACGGTCTTTACAGTCAAAAGACCGAGCACATCCTTCCTCCCTTTTTCTATTTGAAATAGGAAAGCCTTCGTAAACCGGCACCGACCTAGTCTTAAAAAACATTTTTAAATATATTCAACCACATATTTAAAGAGGCAGACTTGTTCACAATCGTCGGGTCTGCCGGAATCCCCGAAGACCTCGATAGAGCGATCGAGGAAGTAATAGCAAAAGTAAGAAATTCTGGTGAAGTAGACCCGTTTGCAAAAGTAGGGTCTTCTACTGGCATCACTGCTAGTCTAGATAGGGCGATCGAGGAGGCGGTCGCGAGGGTGAACAATGCGACGGAGGCGGACCCGGTTAAAGTGGTAGGGCCTGCTGAAGTCAATGAAAATCTACCGACAGCGGTGATTGGAAATGACTGGACGGTAGTAAAAAGAAAGACAAAGAACAGCAATACGAAGAAGACCCCTATTGCGAATGAAATGGCTCTCCCCCGGTAAGAAACCGTGGTTAGTTGTCCATGGGGTGCCGGAGAGGGTTGAAAGAAGTACCCTAATAAATATAATAGTGGAACACAGTGTGGTCCCAACGTGTCCTCTATTAAGGGCTGGAAACGGCCCTCTAACAAGAGGGAAGTTGTAATAGAAGTACACTCAACAACAAAGAAACGCCCTCCTGAAAAGGAGGAAAATTAAAATAGGGAACACTGTTTGCTGAGTAACAAATTGTGTTACCCTTAAGCAGTGTTTCAGATGCTTTAGTTTCGGGCACAAGGCACGAGAATGTAGTGTGCCAGTTAGGAGCATACGGTGTGGTCAGGAAGGCCATTTTTCTACAGAATGTAGGAACAAGATAGGGTGTGCCAAATGTGGTCAAAGCGGACACATGAGCACTACACTAATATGGATTGTAGGATATACCGGGAAGAGTATAGTAGGTGGGTGAGTAGGATTAGATATGTGTGATTTTAGGATCGCACAGATCAACCTTGCACGCTGCCGGACGGCAATGTTCGCCAGACGGTATTTACCATGGTGTATAATGTTAATTTAATTTGTTTTGTATATATTTCTTTTTGTTGTTAAATAAACATTATTATTATTATAAATTAGTTTCCAAGTTTTAACTTACAATCCCCGCGGCATTAGCGAAATCTAGAGAAGGGGGCGGGGCGGAAAAAGTTATTCAGCGAGTGCGACTTAGTGGGGTAGACCCCCCTATCCCGGCAAACGTTAATTTTTAAGAGTGGCGGCAATTTCAACAAAGGGCTTGCCGCTTTCGGTAAGTCACCGGCCACGTGCTGACGATTAAACAGTTAAATCATTTATATCTCGAGAAGTGCTCAACAGATTTTTCTCGAAATTTTGTACACTCGTAGGGACCAATAAACCCTAGAAGCTATTAAATTTTCAAACCCATAAGAAACTTCTAGCAAAAGTTATTTAACTTTTTTTACCTAATTAATTATTTTGATTAAAAAGTTTTTATCAAAAATAAAAATGGTACTCACTGCGATATCTCTACCAATTTTCAAGATTCTACTCCTTCAACTGCTCGGTCAAAAATTAACTTAAACAGAGTGCGACCTTACTCGTGCAACGACTCGAAGTGAACTGAAAACTGAAAAGTCAAAACTATAACCTTCCCCGAACCGGTTCCAAGCAGTGCCGCTCCACCGACCTAGCGTGCGGGGTTACATTCATTTCAATGTATTTTTGTTGGGGTCGGTTCCGTCTTGACATTCTTTCTATTGTTCCTAAGCCGTTGCCGGCTCTTGACAGTTTTTTTTAACTTTCATCTTTGTGTTGCTTTTTTATTATAGACGGAAGCGGCTGAACTTGGGGGTCAGAGAGAACAAGCAGAAAAAAAGAAAAAAAATTGTATACAGGGTGGATTCGAATCAGTGTGTTTTTTTGGGAAACTTAATCGAAAATTGGGTATGCCGCCAGAGTAGGTTTCCTATACAGGACCTATCCAGCAGATAGAGTTATGATTGTTGAGTTCGAAACAAAAATCGGTCCTTATGCCGTTATTTCTACACCAGTCATGAGATCCTGATCCTTGGTCGGGAAACCACCTTTTGGATGCGGTAAATTTTAAGAAGGCGGCCCTCAAACATCAATCGGTATTACGGTATTTAGTTAAATTTGTAACATATTTTTTCGAATCAAAAGATTTTGAAGTTTGGTTTGCTACCAAGGTATCATATTGCATAGATGATACAATCACACAAAAATGTCTTCATTTAATACCTTTGTAATGTCTTCGGTAGGAGAAAAAAAGCTTCGATGGTGAAAAAAGGTTGAAGTAATTTTTGTGATTCGACAGTCTCTAAGATTATTTGTAGAAGAGAGGCAAATTTTTTAATTCCTCTGAAAATTCCAGATTTCTGATAAATTTTAAGTTTCGTCTGTTACAAACGACATTTTAAGCGTGTCGCAAAGAAATGTAAATGGTGTAGTCGTATAAGAAATTTATCGCTCGTTCCGAAAAACGAGTCAAAACTGCGAAAAAATTAGATGAAAGTTGGGAAAATACGGTTTAACCGCATAAAGTCCGATTTTTTTCGAAAAACACAACATTCATAACTCATAATGAACAGAGATAGGACGCCGTTTCTGGCGGCATTCTACTCCATTTTCCATGAAGTTTCACGCACAGAAAAACCAAACTAATCCGAATCCACCCTGTATAACTGTAATACCGTTACAGTCCTTGGCAATGTTGGGGCTAGTCGGTCTGTGTAGTGTATAATATAGATAGTACGTCAATCTTTAGATATATTTAAGATTGTTTGGTTCTGATGATGACCTTAAAATAGGTCGGAAACTCTGCAGTAACAACTGAATTTACTCCTTTTACAAAGATAGTTCCTACAGTTGTTACTTCCTACAGTTGTACTGTTTTCAATGATGCGGATTTCGAGCTTTTAGCTCTTCATCAATTGAAGAAGTTCTACAACTAAGCCTCTCGACATGAACTGTAAAAGTGAACCCGCCAACGTTCCAATGAGAAGCCGGTTTTTAATGCCGCTCAATGTTGAACGTGCGCAAAGCTGGAATTATAACACAAGTAAATATTATATTTGTAAATACTGTAAGAAATTAATTAGAATTAGTGTTTAAAGATAATAGATAAAAATTAAATTAGAATAATACCTTAATAATACATAAGTAAATTAATAAAAATTACATTAATTTAATTATTTGGACGTTTATGATGAAAGCTCGAAATCCGGACGTTGAAAACAACATAAGGTGGCCATTCACGATCGCTCCAAGCAGGCCAAACGGAGCGACGCCGTTCCAAAAACCACGTCAATGGCAAAACTGAACTGGCGTGCCCGGCTATGCTCAANTGGTTGACGTTCGGAGCGACTGGCTGTGGAGCGGTCGTGAATGCCCCTCAAATTTCAGGCACTCCAAATGGAGCTGTACGGCTTGGCGCGGTTCCGTTTGGAGTGATCGTGAATGGCCACCTTTACTGTGAGTAGGAACTATCTTTTTAAAGGGATTGAACACCGCACTCCCTCCACCATTCATAATTTCTACCACTGAATTTACTTTCTTCTTCAAGACCATATCTTGATCCAGTGTTCGTGATTGAAAAAGTGGTCGGTACTTCTAATACTGAAGACGGGGTTTTTCGAAGAAGGGAAAACTTATTTTTAGAGGCAAATGTTTTTAATGGAATATAGGAATGTTTATAAATAATACATTTTTAAACAGATTTATTTGTTAGATAATAGTTTCTTCAGCAATAGCACTTGCAGATTAGATAATGGCGCTTCCACGATAAGATAGAGAATAAGAGCCAACGTATATGATATTAATACATCGCCACAAGTCATCCATATCTGAAATCAAAAATACACACCATCTATTAATTGTTTGAATTACTAGTTTTATCATCATTTGTCATTATCATTAAATTCCACGTATTTTGTTGGCAGGAATGAATGTAGAAATAGAAAATTTCCATTCCTATCCCCCAATTCCAACAATTGGGTATAGAATTAGCAAACTCGACAACACATGATGCACACATAGCAATAAGCTGTTAAGTATAATAACTGTTCTCTAATTGAGGGATGTCTGTCTGCAAATGAAAATGTCCATTTTGACCGTAGTTTAATGGCTGGTCATCGAAAAATGCTTGTTTTCATAGGAATATCCCAATACGGTATATTTCAATCTGTTTTTGATCATACCTACTAAACTCTATCTGCTCAAACGTGCTCTTCATTCTCTCAACCAATGGTCAAGAAATAACAGCATTCTTTCAAACGCTAACAAATTCCAGTCCTTATTAATTTCCAATAAATCCATTAGTACAGATTGCCTATCCTCTTCTCATATCACCGGCTCCCCTATTAATTTTTGTCCTAAAGTTAAAAATCTCGGTGTTATTTTTAACCCCAAGCTTACATGGCATGACCATGTGAGCTCTATTATTAAAATGATCTACTCAAGCTAACATTCTCTTCGTCCCCTTAGCATTTTCACTCCACAGAAAACTAGAGCTCTCCTTATTAAATCCCTAATAATTATTTTATTCTCTTACTGTAGCCCTATTTTTTCACTTTCCTTCAATCTACTCATCGCTTTCAAATTGCTTATCATTCCTGCATTACATACTGTTATGATCTTAAACCAAGGGATCATATTTTATCCTATGTTAATCCCTTCAGCATTTTAAACATTTTTAAACTTAGAGTTTTAATATATATATTTAAAATTAATTAAATCAAAATTTCGCGTTTCACGCAATTATTATTGATGACTGGCTTTATAATTGTTAAAATGAAGAATACCTACCTGAAACAAATTGTTGAACTTGTTGTTCTCTACGTAACGAACGGTCTCCACTAATGAGGTATCATTTGACAGTAAATGGAGCATAATAAACAAAACAATAACGGTTTAAGATCTTAATGTTTGGGATATCAAAGCAGGAAGAAAAAAAGAGGAGAAATAATGTGCGAAGGAATGGAATGGAAAGAGTGGAATTGGGGCACAGCAGAACCTCTGACAGAAGATGGTTCAAGAAAATTGTAGAAATCATAATAAAAAAAAGCTGTGAGCCCAAAAGTAAACAAAGTTTAAAATTTATATGAAAGAAAAGAACAAGAGTGAAAAATGTAAACCACTCTAAATAAATTAGTTGTTCAATATCTTGTTAACTAGTAGAAATGAATTACATTTGGTATTCTTATTGGAAAATGAAATTTTAGGCCTAATTCTCACTGCACACTGGCAGTTAATAATCAAATAAATTAATTAAAAATTAAACTGCTCCATGAACTCTGCAGTACTTCAATGCACTCTTTACAAAACCGACCAGGTCTGAACAATCCAGGGAATTAAGTTTCACGATCAAACACACTCTCAAAACTAGTTCTCAAAAAGGGAAACTGAAATTCTGGAAGAATCAGCCAAAAAATGGAAGAGGTCCTCCCCTTGCCCAAGAGTTACACAGTGAGCTGCGCGCAACATAATCTTCTCTCAGAGGTAGTAATTAGGGTAGATAAGATCACACCTAAGTTTGAAGAATCTAACATAAATTGAAAGAGGACAACTTAAGATTATTATTGAACAAGTCGAAAAACACCTTTGAATGATCAAGCTCCTTGTACAGCAGAAATCTGTTGGATCTAAGGGCCAATTCCATGCCGTTAGAACGATTGGACGAATCAAAAACTGAGAATTTAGATGGTCTTCATAGTTGTTGAGGGAGTTAATACCAAAATCATGGGCTACTGAATTGACCGCTTTAAACCAGATCAAATTACCATTAATTATTTCAATTTTTTTAATAGTGTCCAACCTAATTTTGTGGAACATAATAAAAAGTTGATTGGTAAGAAATAAATTCTTTTTTGTTTTTCCTATTGTTGAAAAGACAATTTATTTCTTACCAATCGACATCAATTATTCCCCCTAGGAAAAAATATACTTTTGAAATTATTTAAATTTACTGACAGATTCCAATAATGGCAATAATTTTCTAAAGCGACAATGTTTCTCTTCAAGGTGTGCAGAGGGTAGTCAGAATGACCTCATCAGCCTAGAGAAGGCTTTTAATTAATAAATACACTAGAGAAATGAATTACGAAATCTAGAACATTACTTAAATTACTTTTCTAATGCACATAGACAAATCGATAAATAAAAACACAGATGAAGGACAATGTGAGTTGAATGAATTATTTAAAAACCTTTAATCCGTTTTGAATAGACACTTGAAAGAATACACCATAATTTAAAATACAAATATCAGTATTAAATTTATCATTTTTTTCCTTACCGTCATTGTTAAATCTAAATGGTTTGGAAGCCTCTGTTGAAGAAGTAAATACTGTTGCAAAGGTGTGTGGACGATGAGTACGGAAAGTGTTAATTTACTCAATGGTGCATATACGTTTTGGTTCAGTATATGGGAAACCATACCTGAATAATCATTTATATGTATTAATTAGCGATAAATAGCATTTTTATTTTAATGTTACCAAATCCGGTTGTAGATTCTGCCAGTATCACCCATGCCAGTGCCAGCGCCCATAAAAGTCTGTTTAAACTTCCATAAAGTACGTTTAGTATCAGACTTGTTTCATGTCCTGGAATGAAGAAAATCCAGGCAGATAGGAGTGTGCCGATGGTAAAAAGTACTGCTAGAACCGTCCCAGTACCCATCTGCCACTGGAGGACAATTTAAAAATTTTCCACATCCAAATTTCACAAAAAAGTATATAAATTTCAAATTTTTTGTCTAACTTACAATTTTTAATTAACACACATAAAATAATCATACACAGTAACAAGGACAACACTAAAAAGGAACAATGCACACAAATAATAATTTTAAAGAGTCATTGACAAAAAACCATAAATCAACTAAAACAAAAATAAAATGCCATATGCCATAATAAATAATAATATTTAATATGCTAAAAAAATAATAATTGTGCCAAAAATACTGACAATAATTCAATTACATTCCGCTAAAAGTACATTAGACACAATACAGTTAAGAATTTATAATAATGTAAAAGGCACTAAAATGTATGTATAAATAGGTATAATAGGTCCTTTGGAGGATCTAACTCATAGAGCCATACATTTTGGCCAAAGCCTGGGTCTGGGTCCAGCATGTACATTGTAGACAGGTTGCTCGATGGTCCCTCTTAGGTAATTGAAGGGTGCAATTTCTATAGGAATGCCACCTAATATGAGAATTGTGCATGAGCACGGCAGCGAGTATTTGCATCCATTGTATCGATTCATTGGGGAAACAGGGTTCTTTTCTTTATATAGTAATGATAGTTTTGTGCCCTTAGCATGTGTTGAGACTGAATGCATTTATTACCATGAAGTGGAGGGTGAAGGAGGAATATCAAGTACTCCACCACCCTACTGAGTGAGGAGGAAAGTATTTAAAAGTGAATAAGAGTGAATTCAGTTTGGATTTAGGAACTGATTACATTGGGTGCTAAATTAACCTAGATAGCCTCTGGAGCCCAACAACAGTGGCTGTCAGATAAGACCAAGGTACGACCCCGGACTGCCAACACCTGGGATGAGTGATTCTCAAGGCCTGTGGGCAAGTTATTGTAAATTACTCAAAAGCTGGAATTGGCGGTGGGCTGCGAGAAGTGAAAGGCTTAACTCTGCACATGTGAGTATGCATGTACATCCGTGTGCTTGATCGTTTATTAGTAAGTTATCAGAAATCATTAAAATAAAAATTAAGAACCATGAAAAAACATTAGACAACATACAACACTCAACTATTTTCATCAATGCGAAAACATTTCAAAACCGGGTTTTTAAAGGGCTAACAAATGGGTGAAAATGTTAAGCCATTGACAGGGCAAATCATCATTGAAAGAGTCCCAGGTTCGAATCCCAAAGTACTCTCAATGAATTATAATAAATCACTAGTTACAAAGCAAGCAAGTTCAAAGCAGTACAAATTTAATTGTTATGTTAAAATTACAGGCATGCAGTTAAATATGGGAGGCTACAATTAGTAGCGTATTTGAATGTTGGTTGAAAAGATAAAATGTAAAAATAACCTGACATACAATATTGCAGGAAATGCACCCAGAAGGTACTTTTACTTCCCAACTACCGAAGGCAGGGAAGCCTTGTATTCATGTGGGAAATCTAGAAAATTTTGTCCTCCAAAATCAAAATTTCCACTCGCATTTGCGTTTCAGATCTTTCTGGAATGAGACCAATTTTGAAATTTTCAAGATTGTGCGGGTTGGTTTCAAGATGGTTCTCTATGAATTTCATCCCCATTGAGTTAACATATGGGCATGTGCAAGTACAAACGTAAAATAATGTACACAGCTATATGTCTGAAACCATTTGTTGGCTTCTCAAGCAATTTTCAAGGATTATGCAGGTTGCTTTCTAGATGATCACCTATGAATTTTATTCCAAATGGAGCTTACTGCCCTCACATGGCAGAAGTTAAAGTTTTTTTTTAGCTTTTTTGCCTATCAATCTCCCTGCATAAGAAGACCTCATACCAGCGGACCACTACCATTTAACTATACTTATTAATTATCAAAATGGATGAATCTAGATGATCTTAATACTTTCCCTGGACTAGGCTTTAAGGTAAAAAGAGAGGTTCAGAAAAGGGATTTTTTTAAATTAAAATTTAGTGTATTCAATAGGGCTCTCGTTGTTGTTTATTCTTTTATACTATGTATGCAATTAGTTTTATTATTACAATATAAAGTTAGTGTATAAATAAGAAGTAAACTCGGGAATATTAAGGTCTCGGTGTAGGGTGTGGTTTGATTCATAATAAGGGTAACAAGTTTTAATCCTTAATTGACCCATAGAATTTGATACCATAAGTCTGCATAAGTTTGAGAACCATGATTAAGTGGACGTTTGTAACATCTGTTTAGTTGGTTTCGATTTAGTCTTGTGTGCGGATTCCAAGTAAGTTGTTTATCCAGATGAAGTCCCAGTAACATATATGTTCGGCAGGGTGGTAGTTAAATCCTGTTAAAGTAAGCAGGTGGTAGTGTTCTATGTCTGAGAGAGAAGTTAATGTATTGGCTCTTCGTTGTATTTATTTTCTCTATTTTTTGGACCAAACGTCGAGGCACTGCAAATGGTTTTCAAGTTTTCTGTATGCGTTGACCGGATCTTTATGCTGGAAAAGGATTGCTGTATGTCTGCAAAAGTGTAAATAATTGTTTGTGGAAGGACAGGAATGTAAGTAGTATATATCGTGTAAAGAATAAGTCCAAGAATGCTCCCTTGTGGGGATGCCAGCTTGGATAGGATAGATAGAGGATATCACGTGCCCTAACTCTGAAGTAATGGTCAGAAAGGTACGACTTTAGGAAAGGGTAGTGGGTATTGGGTGGGATGCCCTTTAGCTTCCACAGGAGGCCCGGGTTCCTGCCAAAGGCTTAAGCAATTTCAAGGAACACACCCGGACCATACTGCTTCTGCTCAAGGGAGAATGAAATAACATCCACAAGGTGATGACATTGATGGATTGTAGAGTGTAGGGACCTAAATCCAAATTGGTGACTCGGAATAGTTTCTTGGGATTCAATCATAGAGTATAAGCGTTTAAGTAGGAGTTTCTCGAGAATTTTACTCATTACAGGAAGGAGACTGATAGGGTGGTAGGATGAAGGAAGATCGATAGGCTTGGTTGATTTATGGATAAGAATTATATTGGAAAATTGCCAAATAGCAGGATGTATGTTGTTCGCAGGATGGGAATAAAGTTGTAAGTAAAGAAAATAAGGGCTCCTCGGTAGATACTGAAGGATTTTTATGTGATTGCGTGTTTAATGTAGGAAGGTGAAAAAGCTTTGGGAGGAAGAGAAAGAGGAAAAGGAGTGAGTATTTAAGCCTTGTTCAATTTCATTTGTCTGTTCAGGATCATGAATATCACTGTGTGGCATGAAGTTGGGAATAGGTGCTGGGCAAAGAGATAGGATTTTTCTTCGTCAAATAACTTAAGAACCATCCCTTTTGCAAAGATAATAGTTCTTCAAGTCCGACGAAGAAAAATCCTACCTCTTCACCCAGCACCTATCCACCATCTTTATGCCGCACACAGACCTACGCCTTTACCTCTTTCTCTATTATCTAAAATAAATTTCACAATTGAATTGCTGCCAATGCACCCTTGCAAGGAAAGGGGTTGCCACACCGCTGATAGGACCCGAACCCTTCTGTGGCATAGGAATCCACACTATTAACGAATATCTCAGACAGAAGGACAAAAAGAAAATGAGCGAACTTTGGAATTCACTTATTGGACATAGACAATCCAAGAATCTTCTAACCAATTTTGGCAAGAAAGAAATCACAGAATGTGTAAAAGGAAGCAGGAATAGACTGCGAATCCTAACAGGATTCCTGACAGGACACTGTAGATTAAATGGACATCTAAAGAAAATTGGAATAATCCAAGAAGGCACATGTAGATTCTGCAAGGAAGCAGAAGAGACACCAACACACTTACTAACAAACTGCGGAGCTACATTGGCCCGCAGGAGGAAGTATTTTGGGATGTACAATGTGACCATAGAAGAACTACAACCACTGAAACTGGGCCTATTAATCAAGTTTCTTGATGAAATAGGACTCACCGATGTGCTTTAGGCAGAGCACAGGGGATACAATAGCTCTTAAAGGGCGCAGTATACCATACCCTGAAATATTACATCTACATCTACATTGCTGCCAGTGGGCTCAGATTCTTTAGTACCTTAAAAGAACTCCTATCTTGAACCAAAATTTTTAAATTCAGTGGCCAGTTGAGATGGATGAGGATCTTCAAAGGTTCTCTCGCATATTTGTAAAGAGGACAATTCAGAAGCCTTTATGTGCCATCGCCCTTATCCCCCCATTTGAACATTCTTGAACTGTTTTTAATAAGGAATTGGTGGAAGTAGGAGTTCTCATGTCCTGTCGTTTTTTGTGATACCCAGAAGTCTGGCTGGAACTATGTCACTCTCCTTCACAACTTAATGCTGGGGAAGAATTCATGGGTTACTCTGCCTTTTGTATTATTGTTCAAAGTAGTCCTGCACTCCTGCCATGTGTCTTTGATCCAATGATTCAATGAGGTCCCGAAACTGATTTCTTGATGCTCCTCGAAGCCACTCTATGTTAGATGCACTCAGATTCAACAAAAAACTATTCCTTTCCTTCCTTCAGTTGTCAAAGGGCAATTTTTCCTGGAGGACAGGAGCAATTGGTGGAGTGGAAGCGAGGACCTGTAGGGAGTGTGTAGGGATCGTTTTATATGCCTTTGATATTCTTAAAAGGGTCTTGTTCCAAAATGGATTTCCCATTACGTTTTAGCTTTTGCAACCAAGCTGTACCTCCGTACAGGGTAATTGGAAATAGATGCCTTGTACATGATAGAGAAATCCTTTGTCCTCAATCTCCAGTTTGCTTTCGCTATCCTTTGACCTTAGAAAAGATAAATATTCTTTTTTCTAGAATTTTAAAAACAGGAATGGCCTGGACGAGGTCATTTACATAGGCTACAAAGTTGACTCCCATCTCATTGCGTTTCTCTGGAAGAGTGTTAAAGACCACATTTCAAAAAAGTGGTTCCAACATAGATCCCTGAGGGCATCCCTTTGAAATATTTTCAGTCACAATTGTGTTCATTTCAGCTTGTCTTTCATTGAAATAACTCGAGACCAAATTAAAGATGGTCCGGGGGCAGCCTTCAGGCAGGCATCCAGAAGGTATATTATTATATTATAATATTTAATTAATGTTTTCTTTAGGCTCTTTAATCAGGAATGTCTTTCTATTTATTTATATCAAAGACAATCTTGAGCAGTTGACCTGTTTTATCATTGATTTTTTAAAACAGAAATCTTAATGCATAAAAACAATAATTGTATTTATAATTTTCTTTACATTACTAAATTTACGTCGGTAAATTCTGTAATTGAGAATCAGTAAGTCATACCTTGTTAAATTTGAAATTATTTTTTTGGAGATGTATGTACAAAAGTGCTGTTGCCATTCCTGCAAAATAAGGGCTTGCTCTCATATGCGTCCTTGTGTATGTGTTTATGTAATCTTCTTCATGGAAATAGTTTGGTAAGTAGCTGCAAATAATACATAAAATGAGTAAAACGACTGAAAAGTATTGTCCAGCAAATTTCCAAAAGAAGGTTACGTTACTTCAAATAAAACTTAATGACAGCGTTGTATTTTCCTTGGTAAAAAACATAGGCTGGCAGGGCAATTGATGCTAGTAATAAAATGGAAATAATAGCTGATACAATTTTTCTATTTTTTAGCGTTACGTAACCAACAACTGTACAAATCACAAATAATTGCATGTCCACAGCTAGATACCAGCTAGGAATCAAACACTAAAAAGTAAAACATAATGTGAGGTGCAAAATATTAAATATTAATTAAGGTTGGCTGAAAGACATCCTTCTTGGATTTAGGGAGACTGGTGATCATTGAAGACCTCAATTGGATCGCCCAAGAGTAAAACGGAGGAGGATGATATTTCAGAACAATATCACCTATGGCATGTATATAAGAGCAATTATTTATCAGTCAAGATTCTCTGTATTAAGTTTGGTGATATGCCATTGCTGTGTGTCAACACTGTTCAATTTCTCCATGGGATGTGTTGGGTGGTGAACCTGTAGTTTGCATGCAAGGCTAGACAGAAACAACAAAACTACAGATTTCTGGTTTGTAGACATCACGGTCATGGGTTCGATTCCCACCATCGCCCATCGAATTTCTGATCCCACCCCTCCCCCAATAATTTCAAAAAGTATCGCCACTAAACAGCTGCTGAAGGATTAGATTAGATTAGAGAACGAGTCGGCCTCTCAGACCTGCGTACTGCGACCAGCAATAGTATATTGTGCATCTCTATTGCTGTCCAGAGCTTCTTATTAAGCTTAAGGCTTTTTACAAGATTCCAAACCTTTTCAAGGACACCCATGTCTATCCTTCAGGCCCAAGCTATTCCTCTCCCTAGAGTAGGAATCTCAGCCTACAGCGTATAGGTTATGTTCTGTTCTCTTCTTGTTTCCGCACAGCCTTCTTTCCGTCCTCTGAGTCTATATGTATGTCTTATTATTCTGAAGTGTCCAGTTAACACTTCACACAGTCCAACAATCATTCTAGACCTAACAGGTCCTAGATTTAGAAATTCTGCCGTTAGTTTCTGCAATGGTCTTTTGGTGAACTTTTTCACAAACCTCTGCCCCTTGGCTTCTCTTCCCCTGTTAAATGAAGGACTTTTTTAAAAATTAATTTAATTTTTAATCAATTGTCTGATTGAGCCACAATTTTGGCAGTTTGGTTGGCTACAAAAGGGTTCAGGACCAATAGGTCTCATCAAACTTCCTAGGCCAATTTATCAGCCTCTTCCTCGCCCCTTTGCCCTGTGTGCCCTGGAACCCAGGCAAAGTTAATTTTGTTGTTTTCCCCAATGTCTGACTGTTGACGAAAGTTCAAATTCAAGAAATATTACAAGCTTTGATTAATTTTTAAAGGTAACAATGCTAAAATCATATAAATGTAACAACTAGATGATTTTTGAGGATATGTTAAATACTATTACTTATGGTTTAATAAAAAATAATGTTATACCTCTTCCTCAGTTTTATAATAATTGTTGATGAATAATATATATGTCCACCAGTTTCTTCTGCAATTAGAGTAGCGTGTAAGCCCTTCACTCTTCCAAAATGGGCCTCCTTCACTTATGGGCAAGATGAGTGCACAAAAGCCGATGACTACCATGTATACTGGTGTCACTCTAACACAAAAATATCCATGTTATTATATGATTGTGTAATAATGCCCAGTGGAAAAATGACAACCACCCCCCGAGTTACCAACTATGTAGTATAAATTTATGCCTATGATTTTAGAACCCAAAACAAAACAAAATGAACACAACAAATATTCATTAATAAGAAAAACGAGGAACTACCCATTAATAGTCACTTCTTGGATTAATAAGTTAATCACTTTCACTGTTACTTGGAGGTTGTGAAGCTAGTGATACTTCAGTCATCAGGAAGGATTACTTGGGAGGGTGTGGGATGAATATTTTCTGACATGAGTGTTTGTGTGACTGGGTAATTGTGAATCTTCTTCTTGTCGCTATTTCAAGGACATATTGGATATTAAGGTCAAAGTGAATGGTAAGATTGGATACACAGAAAGGAGAATGGACGATAGTTCAGAGAATGTTGGATTGTAGGGAGTGCATATGTTGGAGGTTCGAACATTTTGTTGCAACCTCAAAGTCCAATGCCATATGTCCACGTGGGTCTCAAAATAGTAATATAAATTACTCTTTTGTTTTGTAGATTTTTGCTAGTTTATCCAGGGAACTTTTATGAAGTCTGAAGCATCTGTTTAGTTCTTGTCTTCTGTGTTGTGTGAGTGGGTTTGATGTAAGTTGTTTGTCAATGTATAATCCAAGACTACATTAGCTGGTGGGAGAGGGATACTCCTAGAGTAGATAGGAACAGTGGTTATTCTGTTACGGTCGAAACTTCGGCCGACAACAGTTGGTGCCCAATGTGGGGCCTGACGTTGGGCGCCAAAATATTACGCCGAGAATTCGCCAGCTTTGCTCCGTGGAGATGGGCGGGGTTACTTAATGAATTAAGAATAATGAACTTAATATTAAATTTTTAAAAAAATGGGCACCACGCGCTGTTTATATTCACGGAAACAGCAAACCGTAAAGAAAAAAAATAAAGAAAACAAAGAAAATTCAATAACAGTAAAATTAACTAAGAAAAAAAGAACACAATATTTACATAAGGAAACAAAAAAACACATTTATTCCAACGGAAACTAAAATATTAAACATAGATTAATCTTATTTCTCTACGGGTAACATTTTAACAAACTTACACACTAAATGAACCTAAATTATCTTAAAATATAAATAAACATTCCTGGGAACCAGTGTCCAGATATGCTTCTTTTTCCAGGCGATTGAAAATCCCCGCTTCTAGGAATGTGGAGCACCTTCTCTGAAGTTGAGTGCGTCCGCGATTGCCTTCGTTGATCAAGGAATTGATGATTTTCTATGATCCGGCCATGCCGTAGGGGTAGCCGTCTCGACGCACTCTTCTCTCCCCGACTCACTCCTCTCCACTCTCTCATAAGCCTATCCTAGGCCGTCTTAATTTTGATTGACTCATCGCCAATTTTAGTTTAGGTGGCATTACAATTCAGGAGGCATCCCCGGCCAAACAACAACAATACACCCATACTATCTTACGAATGTAACAATTCTCCGAAGGGCAAATGTGTCATGCTCACAGTTTTTTATATTTATTGTCATCTACCATGTGAACCACTGCTCAACAGTGTGACATGGATTTGCAGTTATCTGGTTGTCAGTACCTTTATGACAGCATGATGACTTGAACATATCTGTTGGTTAGGTAGGGTTTTAGGGTCAGGTAGAAGATAAAAGGGAGAAGTGTCTTAACCTGCCAGAACAGCTATCAGTCCTCTTTTTCTAACTTCGACTCCAATGTCAATAAAATTTCATTACATGATCAATTACTCTTTGGTCCGAAAGTACTGATGAAATGATGTGCAAGCCAAGTATTGGTCTGCACCAATATAATATAGACAATTTCAATGTAAATTTTGATATCAAATGAAAATTATACGACTAAAGAGTATGAGTGTAATACAGTGATGCACGGGCTCATCCCCTCGGCGTTCTTGGCCTATTCACATGAGGATAAGCAGATCTGGTGACCCGCTGCCTGATAACCAGGAGACTGGGTGAATGAAAGACTCGAGTAGCCCCTATTACCAAGTTGCTTGTGGCTTGAATTGAAAATTGATCAGTTTCATATGGCTGTTGGCAAAGTGCACTTCATTGTGTAATCAACTCTCTATGCAATATCTAGTGATTCTACTAGTGAAGATGGTATTTATTAGCGCCAGTGCAGAAAGAGAAAAGCAAGAAAGTTGTGGGTGTATCTTTCGTGCCATCATCTCTCTGTCATGTCCTTTTCGAATTCAAACAGAAATTGTACATTGAACACTTGAAATTGAGCACCTCAATGGTAATAATGCAAATGAGAGACTTTAAGACTTGGAAACTAACACATCAGGTCTCTTAATATCCACGTGGCGGCGACTTGCCATTACTGAAGACACCGGTCTGAGTGACACCACCTAATTCCACATTGCGGTTCTTTGGTTGCTAAGTAATCGCTCAGAGATTTAAGTATCTCCATGTAAGTAGGGTCCCCTTTCTTCCTATCGACATATACATTGTGTGTTCATAGAAAAACAATGTATTTTTAACAATTAAAAGGGAGCAAATTTGGATCTCTCCTTCACCAATATTTTGCTGTCATTACTCTCTTCCTTAACACAATCCCATTTACTTGTGCTTACAAAGAGTAATCCTTTTATCAAGATTGCGTACAGATCTAAACCTCCTAAATCTGCAGTGCATCGATACATGTCTAACAAATTGAAAAAAATAAAACAACAAACACAGCCTAACTAATCTGTCAGCTCAGTTCAACTACTGTCCCTTGTATGGATAAAAGATGTTTAGTGACCATTAGTCAATGATTATTCAGAGATCATGATATAAAGAAAATGTTTTTCTAAAACCTACATCACACCAGACCGCATCTCACGATCTCCGAATAATCACCACAGAGAGTCTTGCCCGTCAACCTAAAAAAGATCTAAGACCTATCCCTAATAATCATACATGTCTATTGAAATGCCAGGGGTCAGTTCCAGGCCTAGTGTCAATCAAACCATCTAATAGTACTTACTTGGGTGAACTGACATTACCTCAACCACCTGAAGAGAATAAACAAGAAAGGATTTATTCTTCTTTTATCTTCCACTTGTAAGAGGTATTTATGGTAAGAGAGAAATCCACTGATGAGAAGAAACGTGTTTACAACAATTGCACCATTGAAGTTAACTGTTTGCAGAAACTGTCCATATTTCTGGAAAAAAATTATTTGCTTTTTGATACTTTTTTAAGCAATTATTATTTTAATAGTTCGAAATTCAGCAAACTACATAAGTAATACAGCAAGTTGTGTGGAGACAAGTCAAATTTTGAGTCTAACTAATGGTATTTTGAATTTAAACACTTACTTTTTCCTGATCCTCTGGATTAAGTACATTTTTGTACAAATTTGACAGTAGTCGATGGCCATAAATAATTATTATCATTGACCAAACTTTCATTCCGGAGAGAAACTGTAGCTCTTTGGGACCTTCTGATTTTGTGAGCTTTTTGAGATTGGTCACTAGTGAAAACTTGAAAAACCAATTGCCTAGGCAAATAAAACACAACATAGATAAACTCATTTTATAAAAACAATATTGGTTTAAGTCCTGTAAGTTAGACTGTCGTTTTTATCAGACAATAATCTACAAAGGAAGAAAGTCTATTGTTTAACACTGACACTTCCTCTGCTGATGTTAACAGAATACTGGGATCATCAAACCAATATTAAATTAGAGAAAAACATTAAAAAATAACAAGTGTTATGCTTACTCAGTTTGCTTAGCTGTTCATCGTTAAAAACAAATATGTGGACAAGCGTTGCTGTTACAACCAAAGTTGTAAGGGTGGCCAAGATCAGTCTTTAAAAAAATCTCAATCTTTTTCATGTTTTTAATTTAAGTATTTCAATTGACACTTGGAAACTCACAGGAAAATTGATCCGTGTATGTCCAGCTTCAAGCGTTCTTCTAGGGTCTGACAGTATTTCGGATCTACAGTTATGTTGCCAGCAATTCCACCTTGCTTTAAAATTGGATTGAGCAGTTTTTGGAGGGCCAGCTGAACATCTTGAGGCGAGCAAGACGAAGGGACGCAAACAGCCAAATGTATTGTATCTCTGTATTTTATCCTTGGGTCCTTGGATCTCTTAAATTGGAAATATTTACAAATTTAGTAGCAGTGGAAGTTTAGCATTTAGAGTAGATTAGGATCGAGCATTAATAAATTGGGTATAACAATTTACTTTTCGTAGGATTTTTATTTTATTTTTATTATAAATTGCACTAAAATTTATTAGAAGTTATTATATTTTTTACTGAAGGAAAATTTAATTAAGGAATTTTGATTGTAAGATGTCCTTTGTTAACTAAAACTTTTGTGCACATGCTAGGCAAACTGCTAATAAGGTTGTCACTAATTTTATAAGGAATTTCATCCATAGATGTTGCAACACTGCACTCATTTGTTGCAAGTCAACAGGCTGCGGATGGTGCTCAAAAAGCCTTCTCTGCAATGCTTCCCACATGTACTCAATGAGATTGAGGTCTGGAGAAAATTGGGGAAGGGGCAGATGGGAAATTCCCAGGTTTTCTAAATATTGATGAACAACTCTTCCTCTATAGGTCTGGCATTGTCATTCAGAAATCGAAAATCCCTGCCAATGAGATCCCTGGTTTGAGGGATGAAATCTTCGATAATTTCTTGTACATAACGGAATGCAGTGAGGTTGCCTTCAACAGTATGGAGTCCAGGTCGTTCTCCAGTGTAAATCCCATCCAGACCTTTACACGGCCTCATCCAAACTGCTCTGAAGGGAACACGAACAGGAACCCCTGTTCTTGGTACGCGACTCAACAGTAAACATAACAGCATTACTATTAGTGTTGCCTTCTAGGCGCTCGTTGCACCACATTCTCCTAAGTTGCTGGTGGTGGGTTGTTGCTGCAAGTCGACTCAAAGGGGCATACAATGTGAGGCCAACTTCTCACAAACGTTTACGGATCGTTTGTGTTGATGGAACTGTGTGATTCTGTCATGTTTCACTCCAACCTCTCGATCCATTCTAGCCCTACTGCTCGAGTCGTCATTACCCATGCCGAGAACCCGCTACTTCGCCTTAATCGACGATGGCCTCAAGACCTCTCACCCCTTATTAATCACTTACACGGTGTTAAAAATCATATTGTGATTACATTAATAATATGTATAAGCTAAAATTAAAACAAAAACTTAAAAAATTATTTATAGGCACCAAAGAAAAATGTATAATACATGTACCTTTAATTTAAGCCAGGCAGATTCAAAAGCTCCTACATCCGTGTATACGGCATCATTTCGGATTTTATGATATTCTGGGTAGACCAGAGCGTCAGGTTGAAAACTCAAAGACACCAAGCAGTATTGGCCATTCAAATTGTAACTAGGAACTTCAATGCTTAGACATTGATCGTACGCGCCAAAATTATAGCTGCTGCTTGTAAGAAATCCTGTTGGAGAAGATGCTGTCGAATCGTACACTAAAACAGGACGTCATAAAAAATATACTATTCTTATTTATGCATTTTCTCTGTTGGTTATTTCCTCAGCATAGGGTTGTAAATTATACGATATGTAACTTAATTTTCGTAGTATCGCTTTCATAGCTCTCGCCGGCTTCATTCTCAGCGTCCGATTATTATAAAATTATCGTGACATAGTTTAATTTTTTTTCATTAAGATCTAAAGGTTATGAAAGATAACGTGTAGTCCATAGCCATAACCTGAGACTTTAATGGATCTCCAATATGTAACAAATGTATAAAAAATACATATGATACACCACAGTTCACACGCCGAGCTCAAAAAAATAGAAATAGAACTGCCAAACTGTGCCAGGTTAAGAACGACGTCGGTTCCTGGCCCTCGGAGAAGAAGGAAAAGGCCATACCGACGAAACTTCACATAGTTCATACAAGAATAACGCACGAGCGACCGCGTCTTGCAAGCATAAAGTAACAGTCCAGCACATTTTTAATTGTAGAATGCTTGATTATATAGGGTGTAATTTGTATATGTCCCGGCTTAATTTCTCTTCAACCAATGACGCTATAAAAAAAGAAAAACACGACTTTAATATTTTTTAGACTACTTACAAATTTTCACCATTTTTTGGCAAATTGATTTGAAAAATTATACAGGGTAGCTCAGGCCCAGTTCAACTTCAAAATTTCAACTACGACCCTATACATCCTGACACATATTTTAAAGAATTCTTTACGCTGAAAACAAGAGTGCAATTGGATTTTAAATTGGTCAAAAAAATAACTAAGTTATGGCAAAAAGTTTTAAAAAACGCATTTATGCAAAGAACGATAATAGATCCCTGTCAAAATCAGACCCGAAGTCCCTGCACAAAATGAGGACGATACGGCTTAAAATTAATTGTAAGTGCGGAGTACATCTCTAATTTTAGTTTTTGAAAAACCTAAAACCCTTCCAAAAATGCGGAGAGAGCAATTCGGATTTTCGGGAACATACAATAAAATATTCAGCTCCTCGTCGAAATTACGGTGCCGATTTCTTTTTGTCATAACTTTGTCATTTTTTGACAAATTTAAAATTCGATTTCACCATCGTTTTCAGAGTAAAAAAACTTTTAAATGATGTGTCAGGAGGTATACGTTGAATTTATTTGAAATTTTGAAGTTGAACTGGGCCTGAGGTATCCTGAATAATTTTTCTCTAAAAAAAGGTAAAAATTTAAAATAAAAAACACATATTTATGTTTTTTGGTAGAGACATTGGCTCCAAAGAAATTCAGCCAGGCCATCTAAAAAGGACACCCTTTATAGGCAATATTTTGGCAGATCGTCGTACCTACGTGTAGTCTTGAAGCACGGCTGCAGGCACGATTTGCAGTTCGGGTACCTTAGTACTAAAGGGAGTTTAAAATATATGTACACTGTTTGTGTTGTGTTTATGTTAATTTATTCGAATGAACGAAATTTATTAGCGCAAAAGAAAGGGGGTTGTTTAACCCCGTCCCGAAGAAATCGAGTACTCTGTGGCGAGTGTATGACGTCCGGGGAGTAAATGCAAATTATTAGCTCTATTAGGAGGAGTGAATGTTAGTAACCAGACTTATGTGTTTGTATCGGTGGTGATGGGTGTGGGTGGCGTCTGGACTGTAAGAGAAGTCCGGTGGACAGCTGGATGTCGCCTTGCCGTGGTGGGCCACTCGGTTCCTGTAGGTCGCGGTGCTTCCTTGGGTCTTCGGATGCACACAACTATTTGTATACATAAATATATTTTGTGCCTATTTTGCAATTGTCGTAAGGTACAAACGAAAGGTAGGGTGACTTAACTTTTCATATGAAAGCAGAGAATCAGTAACGAGAACAAAATGCTCTTTGAAATTACATTTGAAAAATACGCGTGAAGACACCAAAAGAAGTAAATACGCGTAGAGCGCCAGCGATGACCTCATCTGTTTGTCGGCCCCTAATTCTCCCCCCAATCATGTGTGCATATATTTTTAGTGACGGCGTACATATCATTGCCATCAATGGAGTCGCGTCTAGGCGTCGGTCAGAAAATTAGAAGACCAACTAGCAGTATAAACTGAAGCTCTATGTCAAACTGCAATTAAGATTACAACAGAATGCTGAAGAGGAATCCAGTCAGAGCTTTGAAAGCACTGCTAGGAAAATAAATATATACACTGTTAGGCAAAAAATTCCACCCCCTTGTAATATAACTTGATTTGTATATATTTTTATATATTAATAAAAGTTTCACGTTTTTAAGGTTTAATAATTGAGTCTTTGTCTAGAAAAAATGTAAATTGCTAAGGAAAATGAAAAAAAAAGACGGACAGCTAAAATTTGTTTTAGATTTTTAATTAACATTTCAATATCGCATATTTCTCCCTCTTCCCTTAATTACATCTCGAAGACCCTCGGCACGTACTTTCTACCAGTCTGGAAATGCCTAGAGTCGGGGGAACGGGCTAGCCAGGCCTTGATGTTATGCTGTTGAAGGTACGTTTGTACTATGCGAGCGACATGTGGACGGGATTTATCGTGCATTAGAATAGGATTGTCGCTGATTTCATCGAGGATAGGCAAAGACCATCCACGAACACAACCAACTCTGCGCGACTCTCCATTGAAATTCCCGCCCACACCATCACTGGGCTGCGTTGAAAAGGTTGGCTCTGGGGGAAAATTACGGGCTTCGTACCTTTTATTTCGCCTTCTCCACACTCTTTCACGCCCATCTGGAGATCGTAGAGCAAATCTACACTCATCTGTAAATAGTACAGCAGACCAACGGCTGTGCTCTCGAGCAAATACGAGCCATGCAACTCTGTGGTTCTGGTAAATTCTGGCCCTCTTACGTGCCGAAAAGCATCAGTCTGATTTAATCTTCTTCGAACAGTGCGTTCAGAAATTTGAACACCTCGAACTTCCTGGAGCTGATGAATCGTTCGAACAACAGTAACGGCCGGTTTCGCAAAATTCTCAAAGTCAAAAAATGGTCATCCTGTGGTTCTGTTCCCCTAGGCGTGCAGAACCGACCCTTCTACGATAGGACCCAGTTTCTCGAAAACGTCGACCGGCGTGCCGCATACCTGATGGAACTTCCATCATCAATAAGTGCCACACCACGCGCAACATCCTCACCTTTAAGCGGCATTTTTAAGCTTAAAAACTGAAATTAAGAAAACAACGTTGAAAACTTAGTTAGTTATTGCTTCAGAATTCAAATGAGTCTGAATAAACATTTTAAATTCTGTAAAAATTAAACACTGAAAATTCGTTATCCTTGGTTTAGATTAAGGATTGTGTGTTTACCTCTAATCGATATTCCCAATTTAAAACATAGCAAAAACAAATATTTATTGGTAAAAACAATGAGATAAATTAATGGCAGAATTTTCTTTTATTGAGAAAATGAAACAGAAATCTATCGGGTGGAATTTGTTGCCGTCAGTGTATGTTTACGAGTTGGTCAAATATTAAATATCTGTCTAAAAAACAAAAAGTATGGTGTTTCATATGCATGTTTAATTTACATTTAAAGTTCAAAATCAACTCACTACAAAACTACTCACTTTTCACTGCCCAGAATGAGTTGTTCGAGAGGCAATTTTTGTAAAGTTCTCCATGTTTGTTACACTCCGCATTGCTATTTGTTACGACTGCTAAATTCTTGAGAGCATCTGGAATAACAGTCATTATCCATTTAATGTCTCCCTTTGCCATTTCTCTTGGCTCTACTGACGACATAGTAGATACACACATAAGAACTGAAATAAATAGAGCAGGGTTACTATAGATTTGAGGGAAACAGACAGCGGGCAAAAAATTGTAACTTCTTTTAACCAGCCGTCGCAAGGCTTAAATGTTTCCCGTTGAGACTTTTGTGTGCCGTTGATTCCCATTGAGTTTTCTTTTAGTGTTTCCTATTAAAACTAACGCGATACTATTGTTTTAATCGCAGTGATGTGTTAAAATTAGATGATCGGTTCGGTCTAATGGAAGTTAAGTGTTGCTTTCTTTAAAGGAAGCGCAAGGCCGTAATGGATAATAGCGTTAACGCAAAGTAGTTCCCCTTTTAAGGGCAAGCCATAAAACAGTTTTGAAATGTAAAGCATTTGAGGAATTGTCCTTCGGAATTAATCCAATTCTTATCTTGTGGGAAAGACAAAAAAAGCGATAAAGATAAATCAAACCTATTTAGAATCCACCCCAACTCTCCCCAGATGATGATCTCATGCACAAGTAATAAATGACCTTAGTATACCATTTTCTCTTCAATCTCAAGCCTTTCCATCCTCCTGAAGAGCTACATACACAAATCCCCAAGACAAAATCTAATTACGTCCATACTTCGAAACTTTCCTCAAGGTACGTAATATTGGGATGTCTGGAAAGTAATGCAGATTTTCATGTTTTCTTTTAATTACCCCTCTATATAGTAAACTGTTTACGAGTGATGGATTATTCTTTTGTACGAATGTCAACACTTTTTAACCTTCTTCCAAACAAAAATGTTTGTTTACTTCAATAGCATTTCGTTACTTGGGAATAATTCAGTCTTTGTTTTGGCAGCACCTCTTCATCCGTGTGTGTGTGTGTAAGTTTATCCGAGTGCAAAGTTGGGCTTATATAAATCAATAATCAGTAACCCTAATCCTGTCCAAGCAATTCCAACATCCAAGAACGATTTGGACTTATCAAAGGATGGTGCAAAAAGTCTAGGGCAAGACTGAATTAGGAAAAATGTACTTTGTATTCATTTACCAATTAAAATATGCGGACATTGGGCGCGCCGGGAAAAGGGTGGTTTTAGCCTGGATTCCAGGACACGTCGTACTGGAGGGGAACGAGAGAGCGGACCTGGCTGCGAAAGGGGTACTCTCGTTCCTCACAGTGATGATGTTGAGACCACCCCGATTCGGCCTGACGACGCTAAGAGAATAGTGAAAAATATGATATTAGACAAGTGGAAGCGTCGTTGGGCCGAGTCGACGACGCGCTAGTGTCCGTCAAGCCGACGGTCAACCGGTGGAGCCCGGAGGGGATATTTCGAAGGGAAAGCGTTGTCCTGACCCGCCTGCGGATCGGTCACACATGTGCGACTCATGGGTACCTAATGGTTGGCGCGAGTCGACCTAGGTGCCCAGCACGCCAAGATGACCGACTCAAGGTGTCGCACGTGTTGGAGGGGTGTCGCAGCTTGGCCCCGTATAGGGACCGAAATGGAATACCGTCGGATTATACGAGAATGCTCGAGCATGGCAGCGAGTTTAAGGAAAAACTTTTTAGGTTTTTAAGAGATATTGGGATAATGGGTTGTATATAGTGGAGTATTTATTTCATAGGTTAAAGTTTAGATTTAGTTTATGTTAGAATAGGAGTATGCTGGTCGGCGGTGCAGCATATTTCAAAGCTCCGCTAAGCCAGGTCGGGGCGGAATATCGAGTACCCTCCCATCTCTCCAATCTATGTCTATAAAGAACTTTGATAGCCGCAACACTTTAGGCGTTGGGACGGCGCTCATCACTGTAAGGTAAGGTCCCAGGTTCGAATGCAGTGGCCCTGCATTCGAACCCGACATACTTGCAAACAACGGCACCCTGAGGGTTGAAAAACATCTATATAAAGGCCTTTTCCAGTTTTACTCATCAAATATATGATATTGTGCCGTTAAATTGGTAAATTTCTAATCTGCAGTTTGGCCTTTTCCGTCCATCAAGAGCAGCTTTCCCATGTTTATTTAGTCTGTCAGAATCGTTTATGCGTTTCCTCATTCAGCACTGTGTCCATTCTCTCAGCTGTGTCCTTTTATAAGAAGATGGAACCTCAGATGGATCACAAATTAATCAATAAACATAGCCAATCGAGTCTAAATCGCAGTAGAAACAACAAATACTGCAGGAAAAAAGTTTAAAACAAACCGTCGACTAAACTTACTCAAAAGCACTGGAATACATCTTGAGAGGAAAATAACAATCTCACTGATATGTACATAGGCGAAAAATTAACCGATAATTAAACTGGAATTAATTGAAATTGCGTTGAGATTTTTTAAAAAGCAAAAGTTTAAAATAGACACCAATAGTTACGGCGGAGAACAACAATATAAACTAACAAGGGGACGACCAGATTGGTGGGTCCCGGTTTTCTACCAAACTTTTTTTGGTGATTCGACACTCCAAAAACACGTATCCGCCACTTCTTGTGAATAGGCCCTGATTTCGTCCCCCCCCACCAAAAAAAATGGTTGAAATTTTCCGTTTTAAATATTTTTATTTCGCCGTTCTAATTGCTCAAATCAACTATAGGCATTGTTTATGTAGATTGCAATACCAATATAGTAAAAGCTATCAAAGTTTATCAATAACCAAAAAAATTCTAAAAACCAAATATGTTTCGAGTAAACTAAATCATAGAGTTTGTTCCTTTAAACTAATATGAAATTTCGTTTTAGCACCTCTAGAGACCCCTAAACATAAATTTTTGTTTGAATTTAAATTTATCGATTTTTTAGCCCCTAAAAGTTTTCCGATTTTTGAAAAGTCGTTATCGGAATATCTTATTGAAACGACTATAATTCAAAAACGGCTGAAATAATTTTAACGTAAAACACATCATTTGAAAATATTTACCATTTAAATATATAAAATATTTCTGTAAGAAAATACACAAAATCGTAAAATTATTTATAAACAATTGACCTCGTGTTTTTAAATGGAAATAACAGTCCGATATTAATGTTTGATATATTTATAAAACGCACATAATTTCTTGTAGTTTTACGAGAATAAAAATTATGACCTAGTTTACTTGAAAAACATTTAATTTTTGGACATTTTTTGGTTATTGATCAACTTTGATAGTATTTTAGAAATGATAAAGGTGGGGTGAGTATGTTGCTAATATCTTTGAAAGATAGTTCTTACTCACAGTTTGTTATAAGTTAAATGCTTTGACTGGCAAATTAATAGAAATGATAAAGGTGGAGTGAATAAGATGTTCAAACTGTGATTAAGAACTATCTTTTAAAGATATTTGATAGCTTATAATATAGTTGTATTGCAGTGTACATAAAAAATGCTGTAAAATGATATATTTATATAGTTGATTTGAGCAAGTAGTACGGCGAATTACAAATTTTATTCACAAGGCTGTGTCTGATGTCTGATATTTTGGAGTGTAGAATCACCAAAAAAAGCTTGATCAAAATCCGTGACCCACGAACCTTGTCATCCTTTGTAAGACAAAATGTTATAAATTAATGATTTACAAAAATATGTGTAGAAAATCAAACAAGTAATACCAAATATTGCTTTTAATAAGTTTTTATTTTATTTGTGTAAAAAAAATCGTGGTTTAGTTTTCATATTGTCAAATCTCTACTTATAAATCTGCTGTTTGCGTGATTTTTAAATCTTGACGAGTTTAGGTTTGTGCCATATTTACAAATACAACCTTAAAAACTCAAAAAATAAAGTGTGAACTGGACTTTTCACAAATAAAGACGAATGTAAAAGTGTAGTAATTATAACTTATTACCGTGATAAGCAATATTGAACCTTGACAGTCAAACTAAAATTATTATTTTAGTTCAATATCGAAAATTCAAAGGCTTTGAAAGTATAAAGCTTGTTATATTTTAAAATAGGTGAAAGCCTGAAATTCGGGCTTTTTTTTTTTGCAAAATTCAACCTACTTGTCGTGAAGGATGTAACGTCGAAAACGCCGAACATTTTGTTTGGTACTTACGAGGGGATTTGCGAACCGTATTTTATAAACTAAGTCCCCACCACTCGACCTACTTGTACATATTATTCCATCGTTACAAAGATTTGGGGTCCTTAGCGAATGAAGCTCGGAAAAACGCGATTTTTTATATTAATAAAAACATTTTTCCAATATTGATTGACTGCATGAAGACCGATAATGCACCCAATTTTGTTACAACCCTCAACGTAAATGGAATAAATCTCTTTTGCATAAACCGAAGAGGAAAATAACTCACATTTTGTTATACTGTGGTATTCAATAAAGAATCCAATCTACTACTGGCTCCCGTAAAGATCCAAGATCCCAAATTGGTTTATTTCCAATTTTGTATTTTATTGCTGTGTTGTAAGTCGGTCCCCGTTAGAACAAGTAAGTTAGCAATACTTGTTAATGTAAGGATTATAGACAATATTGTTCTTTTTTTATGAGGATGTAAAACTAACAGCTCGCCAACCAAGTAGGGAACAATTTTGTAGAAACGTGAGAAGCGAATAGCCCGAATAAATAACAAAAAAGGCAACGATTTATTACTGAGGATAGCCGTTCATCGCGGACCGGGCTCATCTTGTAGAGGGTCCCTTTAAAATGGGATGGGCTTTGAACACCTTTCCCGGAACGCCATCGACAAAATCAGGGGATGCATAATGGCAGCTCCCTCGAATTACGAGATGTCGCGCGGGCGGCCAGGTCATCAGGATCAACCCTTGCAGGCCCAACGGATTTTGCTCTTCCTTCCCGCTCCTCTTATTGGAAAACCAAAAGGGATAATTGGTAATAACGAAAAGGTTCAGTCAACCGGGCTCAGTCATTTAGCCAAAGTCTTGGACTCGAATTGAGTTGACTGTCAAGAGTTAATACTTAAAGAACTGCCTCCAGCTGACTCTGTATCAGCGCCATATATCAAAACGTGTGTTTCGTCCACCTCGCGCTCTCTTCTGCCTCCAAAATTTCCGGCCGCGGACGTTCGTCGTCATTCGTCCAGCGTGTCTCATCACCTAACTAATTTGTAGATTTAAAAGTTTTTGAATCTTTTCAAGAAATTGAAAAGGACTCTCGTTAGTTTGTTTTAATTCCGAAAGTTCAAGGACTAGGGTGTAAATGTCCCTCTTGTCTGAGTAACTGGTTAACAATGCATTTTTTATTTCAGGCCAACTACTTGCGCCTGAGTTGAAGTCTATTTCCGCCGCCGGTCCCTCAATTTTCGAATTGAAACTTGCTAATAAATACTCATTTTGAAAATCGCCCAGATTCATCACTATGTAATTTTTGATTTTTGACAAATACCAATGAACCTTGCTAACACTTCAGGCTCGCCCTTAACAGTTGGTATCAGGTTGAGATACTCGCTTTTTAACCTCTTCTTTTTAACCGTTTCTGGAAACGGGGGTGTCATGATTTTATGAAATTCTGTATTAATTGTTTGTGCCTTATGTTTAATTTTACAAGATTTTTCAACCCCTTTTTTAACTTCAAATTTATGTGAAAACTGTTCTCTTAAATCTTTTATAAGACCTATTTTGTTGGCACGCAAAATTTATAAAAGTTTTTTTAATCAACTCACAGTACTAGGTGACACGCTTCCATGTTAATTCCTGTGAAGAGCCTCTTTGATTGATTGGTCCTTGCGGTAAACAATTAAATTGAAGAAAATTATATTCCCTAATTTTCTCCGCAGGTGTCCTACCGACTGCGGCAGTTATGGTTTCGATGTAAGAAACTAACTTTGTCAAAAAAACGTTTATTGAACGTAAACTATAACTTTACACAAGGATTCTATTTTAAAGTGTCTATACAGTTCGGAGTCGCTAGTGGATCTGACAAAGAGGGGTCTAGTAAGCGTCCAATTTTCAAAGAACGATTTTACTAATGACGTTATTAAATTTATAAAAGAATTCATCGTGCCTAAAACAGCATATCACTTGTATTTTGAGTCAGACTATACGAAAAATTTGTGAAAGTAATAATGGAGGTATTCACTTATTCAGAACTAAAATTTTTTAAATGTACAGAAGAACGTATCGATGTTTTAGAGGAATCCGATATCAGTGAAATTATAGAGAAGTGTCGTATTTCAAAAACAAATCATAGGGGCATCACGGAAACGGAAAGTGGAATTAAACGTCTATATTATTGGCCTAAGGTAGGCCGTCCACTGGAGCCGTTTTTGGCCGAACTTGCACGGCCGTGCACCGGATGATCCAAAAGCGAAGAAACGAATGAGCACGCGTCCATTAGAACCAATTCGTTTGGTCGTGTTGGGCCGTGTACGGCCGAATCACTTTCCGATCCAAATAAAGTTGGATTTTCCGGTCCTATTCGGCTGAATGGTTACTTCGACTATATTTTTTTCTTTCCAAAAGGTAGATCGGGGATGAGGCGTACTTCGACTTCAACTGTCAACCACGTGACATCAAACGCTCACCATTGTTTAATGCCGTTCTTTGCTTTTTGCTTACCTTTTCGTTTCGTTTTCATTTCGATGGATTGCGAAAAATTGATAAGTGCGATTGAGGAGCAGGCTCTTGGGACATGCGTGATCCACTGAGTGACATCGGAGAGATGTCCAGCGAAAGCTGTGGTCAAGGATAGCTTTAGAAATGGAACTTCCAATATTTTTGTTTATTTCTTTCATTCCATTTGTAAGTAAACTAAGAATTTTCGAGCAGCAACAAATCTTCTACATCCACTTGGGCTGTGTCGTGAACTGACGAAAATCGGCTACAGTGGACGACGGCGTTCGGCTATATTGCCAGTCGTCCGTTTGGTCAAATAGTTCGGCTGTTGAACGGCCGTCGTAGTTCGGTTACAATGGACGAGCAGCCTAGTCTGTACAGGAATTTATTAATAAATGTGAAGTATGTCTTTTAACGAAATACGATAGACAACCCCCGAATTTAAAGTACAATTTGACTCCGACACCAAGCAGACCTTTTGAGATTGTTCACATTGACACAATTACGCTAGAGAATAAAAAGTTTTTAACAATAATAGACACTTTTTCTAAATTTGCTCAAGCCTACAAAATAGAGTCGAATCAAGCAATCGAAATAGTGAATAAATTAATAAAAATTTTTGCATCTTACAATATTTCAAAGACTATTGTGTCAGATAACGGGCTGGAATTTAACAATAGTCTAGTCAGGGAATTACTATCGCTACATAGAGTCGAGTTGATTTCACATTTTCTCAACACCCAGAATCAAACGGCTCTATAGAAAGATTTCATTCCACCCTCATCGAGCATATCCGACCTTTTAATAATCAACAAGAATTCATGCACGAAGATATCGAAAACAAAGTAAATTATAGTATTTTGGCATATAATCACTCGATTCATTCAGTAACAAAATTAAAACCATTGAAATTATCAGTGGGCATTTACAGAACGAATCTATTTTTAAAATCAATTTAGAACAACAAATTTTAAGTAACTATGTCAGTAATCATAAAAGGAAAATAGATTTGTTATATAAAACGATCAATGAAACTTCTTTAGCGCATAAAGAACATATTATCGAAAAACGAAATGAAAACAGAATAGAAATACCAGAAGTAAATATACTGAACGAAGTTTTTGTGAAAGTCAAGCAAAAACAAAGCAAAACAAGGAATAAATACAAAAAGGCGAAAATAAAATCCATAAATAAGAATCTAAAAACTGCCGAAATCATCCCAAGTCATCACAACACAATAGATTAAATACACATATCAAACATTAAAAGACCAAGAAAACTAACAAATTCTCGCGACATTCCAGGTTCTTCCCACTCCTCTTCTGGACCACAACCAGAGGAATCAACATAGTTTGCATTACAAACGGCATTGGCATAATTCATGTAAACCTTGGTTTGGCAAAGTTGGAAATTTCAGAACATTCTTTTATTCATTATTTTAGTTTAAGAAAGTTGTTTAGTCAATTAGACTATTTAGAAGAATTTTATAACCATGTATCTACTCTAATGTCTACTCTAATCAATTTTGTTAAATAGTAAAAATGTAGATTGCGTGACTGATAATAGTAGTAAAACAAGACATATTGTAAATACTTTAAAATTAATTAATCATACTAAAAATATAATTGCAGAAAAGCTAGAAATAGTTTTTGTAGAAATTAAGAATTATGCTAGAATAAAAAGACGTTTATTTAATGGTGTAAGATCTATTTTAAAGATGTTAACTATTTTCTTAAACCCAAAACCCATATTAATAAAATAGATATAATAAGTTTAAATAATAATTGTAAACAAACTAAATTGTAACTATGTTTATACGAACAAATCAACTATAAGGACAACCTGTGCGACAAGGCCATACTTCTTTCTGGTGATCCATGGAACTGTACATACACAGAACTCGTAGTAACCGACAATCATCTGACTTGGATACCTGAGCTCAACCAGTATTTGGCAGTATTTCCTATTGAAGAACCTATTAGTATAAGCCGCCAGGATGGTACTACAGCAAAACGACTAAAAGGAGTATTTTTACTGAACATCAACGGCAATAAAGTGGTCTACAGGAACAGAGAATTGTACCACTCGCCAATCATCAGGACTTCCTACATTTCAACGTCCATGAGCATATGGACCATGCCAGTCTACTGTTTATTGATCATAGCCTCAGCTTATGGAATCTTCACATGGTATCGCACGCGGAGACAACCCTTGGCCATTGCAACCGCAAGTAAGTGATAGCAGTATTGTCTTCCAACAGCTCAAATATACATAACATTACATGCCATTATCAAAATTGATATTAAAAAATACCTTATAAAATACCTCATTATGAAAACAGGACATTCAGGCAAACAAAACTACAGTAAACCATACCAGCAGCAACCGTTTAAACCGCATTTTCGTACTCCAAAATGTATTTCCCAAATACTGTTTGAAATACCAATTACGGTTCAAAATAAGGAGTACTGTCTCATCAAGATCAAATTTTAAAAATTTTCAAAAAATGTCTTTCCGGGTATGAATGAACTCATTTAAAAAACTAGAAAAAATCCCGTCAGAACAAATACAAAAGATAAAAAAACAAATTGATACATTAGAAAAAGCTGTCAGTAATTTTTCTGATCATTTCTTAGAGCCAAGCCCCAAATTTAATACAATTTCCCAGCCAATTAGAACTAAAAACTATAAGTAAATCACTACCAAATTTTGTCGACTGGAAAAATAGAAAATGGCTTGTAGATAACGGATCACAAAACTTTTTATAAACCCCTCTTTAGTCTCTCCTACCATTACCAAATTTAAAGATTTTACTGATAAGACACAAAATGGCAAAGGTCATGGCACTGGACCCTTTTTAATCCCGAGAATGTGTTCCCTACAGCATCTAAAATAAAGATGTATTTATTCAATTTCTCACCTAAATAAGATATTTTATTAGGATAAGAGATATTAAGTTTTAATGTCAATTAAGGCAAATGTTAACTTTTTCTGAACTCCTTGCACCAACGAAACCAAAAGTGCTGTTTGTTTTTTTCCATTCTATAGAAATGAGTTGGTCTGGACGTTTTCAGCAGGTCTTCTTCTGGTAAACTTGTAATTCATCTTCCGATCTGGAAATGCGAGGGAGTGAGTGCAGAAAGGTCAGGTGAATTTGAAGAAGTAGGTGTAAGTGGGCGGAAGTTCAGAACACCTTCCACTTCGATCACTAGTGTATACAAATCGGTAAAATTTAAATGTGTATTTCCCAAAACTTTTTACACGTGATTTGCAAGATTTTATACCTGTCTCCCAAATCCCTCCAAAATGGGGTTACATCGCAGGTATGAAATGGCTGTTAAAATCGCTGTCGGCAACACTTTGACTTGGCTTCTCTTGTTTAATCAGGTCAGTTAATAGCTTCTTGTTTCCCTTACTAATTAATTAACTAACATTATATATTTATTCTGAATTATAAAATGGCCCGAAACATGTATAAAATAGAATTAGGGAAAACTATTAGCAAAATTGGGGGGTATTTAGATTCGCATAAAAAACATATCAGGCAAACCTATAGGACATTCATAATGTCCGAGTTAGAAGGTTTAGGAAAAGTCTTCGCGGAAGTAGCTAGAAATGAATCTGGCAGTAATGAATGCCAAAGGGAAATAAGTAAATTGTTAGAGAAAATGGAAAAAAGGGAGAGTAGGATATACAAGAAAATGGATTCGATTAGAAAACAGCCGAAGAAGTATGTAAGAAAAATCAAGTCGGAGTTGGAAGACAGAATAGAGAACCTGGAGGCTAACAAAGTGGATAGGTTCGATGTAGTGACGGAGGAAGCGGACCTGTTCGTTCTAATCGGGTCCGCTGGAATCCCTGACGATCTTGACAAAGAAATAGAAGATGTAGTTTTTAGGATCAAGAATAATGACGAAGTCGACCCTTTTACAAAAGTAGGGTCGACGGGAATCTCTGAATCTCTAGATAAGGCGATCGAAGAGGCGGTCGCCAAGTAATTCATCCGACGGAGCGAAATTGCGGGGCCCGCTGAATCTGTAGGCAATCCACCGCCGGCTGAAGAC